GAGCCCCAAGGGAGCAAAGCAACAAAGTCCCCAAGAAATCCCTAAAATAGACTTCAGACTCGGAGGGTAGGGCTTTCCCCTCATCAGGCTTGATTGGAAAACATACATAAGGGTCAGCAGACAGACCTGGAACTATTTATAGGCATTTTTGTTTTTGCTTTTTTCTTTCTTCTTCTTTCCCCCCCCATGTGTATCTATATAAGATAGGCAAGATAAACAATCCCGAGGAGAAAGCAATGGGACTGACAGTTCCAGGGGTCCAGGGTAAAGAGAGGTGGGGGAAAGGGAGTAGGGATCCAGCAAGGGAACAAGAGATCTAAAATTGATGGGGAGGAGGGGGAAGAATACTGGGGGGGCAGGCATGGTTTGATCAAGTGCAATGTAGTCAAGAGGAATTACTGAGGGTCAAATGAAGGTCAAACATGATAATGGGACAAGAAGAAAGTAAAAGGAAATAGAGGAAAGAACTAAGAAGCAAAAGATATTTATAGAGATATAAATATATAGGTACATACATATGTAAATATATTAATATATGTAATATATGTAAATATATTAACATATTGGTACATAATGTTAGGGATATAGGCCTATGTGCATATATTTATATGTTAAGTTTGAAGAAGCAGACGGACATTGGGCCTCTACTCAAGTACTCCCTCAATGCACAAACACTTTGTTCTAATAACATGGCATTCTGTGCTCACCCTCCCTACATGATCACTGAAGACAAAATGGGTACATAAGCAAATGTAGTAAAGAAAGTAAGTTTGAAGAAGCAGACGGACATTGGGCCTCTACTCAAGTACTCCCTCAATGCACAAACACTTTGTTCTAATAACATGGAATTCTGTGGTGCTCACCCTCTCTACATGATCACTGAAGACAAAAGGGGTACATAAGCAAATGTAGTAAAGAAAGATGATGGTGCCCGGCTATTAAAAGATACAGCATCTGGGGTCTTATAAGCTTGTAGTTAAAGAAGCAGCCATCGAGCAGGGAAGCAACAAAGCTCACATGGAAGAAGCACACCAGTCTGTGTGTTAACAATGTGTTGACAGGATCAGGTATCAGGCATCAGAAGACCCAGAAAAAGCAATCATATTAATGTGAACGAATGGGGTAGAAGTGGAGACCCAAAGCCTATCTGTAGACAATTAGATATCCCCTCACAGAAGGGTCACAAGGCAGGGACAAGTCAGCTAGGGTGCAGTATAGCCCAAGGAAACACACAACATTCCTCTAGTTCTTGGATGTTTCCTTCCA